ATGTGCAAGATAGACCAATGGGATTTAAATGTGACAGTACTGAAAGATAAAAAATGTATTTTCAGGTTTTACATTACAAACAATTTAAGAAATTACTTGTTGAGTTTTGTGTAATACCTAAGAATAATATCCACTGTTATCTGAAACAGTTATTAAAATGCTTTTACTTTTTTCAGTTATTTATCTGCTTTCCTTTTATCTTCCATCTTATTCTCCTTCCTACCTTCTTCCTTCCTTTCTATCTCTCCTTCCTGACTGCCTCCCTTTTCTTTTCTTTTCTTTCTTTTCTTTCTTTCTTTCTTTCTTTCTTTCTTTCTTTCTTTCTTTCTTTCTTTCTTTTTATACTGAGTAACTAAAGATGTTTTAAGTAATTATTGCTGATTTAAAAAAATCCAAAATATGAGTAACTAGTTATATCATTTTGTGTCTATTACACATGCATTTCATATATAACTATAAATCTATTTTATGTATGTTTTACTTTGCATTTTTAAATATTGTTGAAAATTAATGAAAGATTTTTGTAATGGAAAATACACTACATGTCTGAGTTCAACTGTGGACTTGACAAATAAGTTGGAGACTCAAAGATTATTTGAAGCCTGTCAATATGTGTCAGAATACTAGTTGGATTTTAACCTGTGGAAGTTCAAAAACTAGAATTGTAGAAATCCAGTACAAGAAGGAGACCAAAGGGTTATTTGGATCTCTTCTCTCATTTTATAACTGAAAAGTCTGACGGGATGTTTGGATAACTCATTTGTGATTACACAATTGGTATCAGAGTGAGGACTAGAAAGTAGTATTCTGACATCCATCCAAAGCTAATTCATTTTCAGCCCAACATTCCTAGAAGTTATTTGCTGGACCGTGTGTCCCACTACATTCAGGCACCCCAAATACTTTGTATTTAGACTTCAATATCTTATCACAGTGATTCTGTCTGCCAAACACTAGCTCAGGATTGGTTGCACTCTCATCTTTAGGCAGGAGGGTTATCCAACTATTTGTATTGGAATGGAGTATTATTTTGTTATTATTTAAAAGAACAGAGCTTTTTTTTTTTTTTATAAAAGTACTACAAGTAGTAATTAAAATCATTGGTTCATAAAATTAGTTCATTTGAGGCAAAGATGGGAGTTTCTTGTACTTTGCAATCTGCAGCGTCAGAGTATTCCCTCCATTCAAAAAGTGTTCAATGAAATCTTCACAATCTTGAAATTGTGATGTGATGAAATTGAATTGAACAAAAGTGAATTGAATTGAATTGAGAAGTGAGCTACCCATACTGGAAATTGTGGTAACTCTATGAAGCCATTAGGAGGCGATGCAATTCAGAACATTAATTTCTGGGAAACCACAAATGATGACTTTTTTCCAACCCCGAGTTCCATTTTAGTGTTGAAATTTAAACCCTTGTTGTACTTAGCATTCCAGAAGTTGAGACTATATCATTATCATTTTTTTCTTTCATTAGGTGAGATAAAAAGATAATGTACTCTTTATTTTGAATAAAAAATATTCATTGCTGAGGGACTAGAGTAGGTTTATTGTGGGAGGAAGGTGAAGGGTGGAGATAGTCTTGGAAAGACCTTGAGAATGTCCTTGCCATCCAAGAAAGATAACTTTCTTTTTACAATATTCTCCAGAGATGGGAAAAACCTCTTTTGGTCTGAATTCCCTATAAACAAAGAAACAAACAAAACCCTGCCTGTTGTTAATCTTAAAATGTTATATACAACGCAGATGGTGGTAATGAAAGATGTAGTTGAATGCTTCTCTATTATTGAAAAGTTTTAAACTGTGTAATTGCTGTACTATTTCATTTCATCCCCTTCTGTCATTTTAATAATATTTCTAAGACAAACAAAGAAATGTCTATAATAAATTATTGCAGGAGTATACTCAGTTTTCTCAAGCACAAATCTGATGAGAATGGAACTTTAATGATTCTGACTCTGTCTAGTCAGTCTTACATGGAACCATTAGATCAACAAAGCCAGCTGTTTTTAAGTTCCATTAGGAGCCAGTATTAAAATAAAAGTAAATATTAAGTCTGAACCTAATTCTATTTTACAAATATTGTAGTTGATTTTTAAAAATACTTTGCTTGATTTATCTTTTCAATTTTAACTTCTTCAACTTGATTGTAAAATATTTTTTCTTGTCATTTTGTATGTCAAATAGCATGTGTTTCTCCTTGGAAATAAGATTCTTTGGGCTACTAGACAGGATGTAGATCAAGCAAATCAACTAGACAGGACTCCAGCCACCACTTCTACCCTCCAAGAACCCTAAAATATCTTAAAGAAGTTTTATGGTAGAACCACAGAGTGATTTTCTATAAATTTACTCAAGTATTCTATAAAAGGTCTATATGAAGTTTTTTACTTGATTAGGTTCCTCAGAATTTGGGATGATCCAAAATATTGGGGTGGATGGAGATTTATACTCCTATCAGATCAGATTTCAAAACTAGAAAGGTTGGATAGAATTTCTCAAAAGTCAGCTTATATTCAACAACAATGCAAAGAATGTGGAAGGCGTACCCACACTTATTTAGAACTTGTTATTTGCCACATAGTTCATACATATTAACACATATGAAATCAGTGTTAGTTAACACAATTTCATTTTAAAATCCTACACTTGGGAAAGTTAAGTAATATCTTCAAAATCTCCTTTCTAAGTAGGGTTATTTCCATATGATGATAAAATTAAATTGTATTGTTAATTGCTTTAGGACACACCTCCAAAATCATAGTTTAAGATTTGGACTTTATTTTTTTATAGATTTGGACATTTTTTTTAAAGATTTTATTTATTTATTTGACAGAGATTACAAATAAGCAGAGAGGCAGGCAGAGAGAGAGAGAGGGAAGCAGGCTCCCTGTTGAGCAGAGAGCCTGATGCGGAGCTCAATCCCAGGAACCTCCAGATCATGATCTGAGCTGAGCCAAAGGCAGAGGCTTAACCCACTGAACCACCCAGGCACTCCGATTTGGACATTTTTTTTTAAAGATTTTATTTATTTATTTGACAGAGATCACAAGTAGGCAGAGAGGCAGACAGAGAGAGGAAGGGAAGCAGGCTCCCTGCTGAGCAGAGAGCCCAATGCTGGGCTCCATCCCAGGACCCTGAGATCATGACCTGAGCTGAAGGCAGAGGCTTTAACCCACTGAGCCACCCAGGCACCCCTGGACATTTTTTAAACCAGATAATATTGGCTACTATAATAGGCAAAGAAGCATTTTAATTGCCATCCAAATATGATTCAAAATAAAAATACTATAAAATTGTCATTACTTTTTCACTCATTCATCAAGCATATCCAGTATAAAATTGGATTTTCCCCCCTAAATATTTCTTAAGGTATTCTCACATCTTTTAATCTCTCTGCTAAGAGTCTCTTTGATATCTTTCATCCACCCAACCAGAGTAATTTTTCTAGTCAAGCTATGATTATTTTACTCTTTATCTCAAAACAACAACAACAAAAACAACACAGAAACAAACAAAAAATCACTTCTAAGCTAGAGTCAAAGTTGTCAGGATCATAGACCTTCTGCAGGACACATGTCAGCTGTGCATACAAAAGAGGCATAGAATATTCTCAACATGATGGAAGATGGATGGATGCTGAGTGTATAATAGGAATCCATCCCCTTTAAATACATACCATGAGCATAACTGGCATATTTGTGAAATATTTATCTAGTCTAAGTTTCACTTTTTTTGGTAAGGCTGCATTTTTCTCTACCTCTTTACATGCAGGAAGACACAGAGAGAGACCCATTAAAGATAACATCAGAGCATATTGGAATCATAATTATCCCAGCACTGCATCAGAATCCAACTGACTATATAATAAAATCAGTGTATGTTTTCAGGTGGAAACAGGAATGGAGAACATGCCTCACATACAGACGTTATAATCTCAATGACCCAGAGCATGGGAGACCAGCAATTGCCTGAAGATGACCAAATGCCACACAGTATTTGAAAAATTGTCAGCTTCTCTATCACTTGAAGATAAGACATGGTATTGTAAGATTTATCATGAAGAGATATTTTTACAGGTACTTATTTAATGACTATTTTTCATCCATTCTTCTCTTCTTCCTGAGAAAGAAAAAGAAAATTTCCTAACCACACTTTAGGAAAATCATCATAGCTAGTGAATTTTCTGAGAATACATATTTATTAATATGTATTATATATATTAAGCATATATTTAATAAATATACTAAATTCTCCATCATCTACTTATCTATTTCTCATAGGAGTTTAGAATAGAGAGCAAGGCAATATTAGTAAAGATGTTGCTTAAATAAAATGAATTTAGAAGTCATGCTTCTGTTCTGACTATAGGGGGAGTATACTTCTAAACAGTTGGTCGTTTTTTTCCTAATTCCACTGGAGATGATGGATCAGTGTGCATAATAAGGAATGTCCTTATTCAAAGCAATTGTGATGTCACAGCCATTCTATTGTTTCTGGGCAAAGTCTATTTTAATTCAGCACATTTTAAAATCAGCAATTATTGCAAAGGAAATCAGTATTGTTCATGACAGTTCCACCATTCTTCTGTAAAACAACAGAGACTTTATTAAAAGCAAAGTTGTATATGGCTGGTTTTTTTGAGTTTTTATTTTATTACCAGTAAAAGAACAAAACATCAGACAAGACTATTGTCTGATCCATCTGGTGCTATATTTCCTCCACACAAGCCTTGTATAACACACACAATATTTCGACTGCAAATGTTGTTTAGCTTTTAAAACAATTGCCTATCAAAGCATCCAGGTCCCGTTGATAATGGAGCAAAGCTTTTCCTGCAATTGTGAGCCAGGAAATGCTGGCCCCCTTGGCAAGTCTCATATGTCCTGTTGCTTGTAATCTCCCTCCCTCCTTGCTGGAATGTATTTTTAAGCAGCTAGACTAACAGGAAGAGAAAGTTGTTACTTCTTTTCATATGATGGAGCAACCAGGGGAAGGCAACTATGCTTTAAGAATTGGGGCTGATGAAATTTTAAAACCCTTACCAGGTACCAAGCTACTGCTGTGAGGGAAATCCCCAGTTCCAAGCCTAGTTTTGGATACAGAGTAAGTTCCCCATTCCATAGCCCCAGTATATTTTGCAGGCTTCTGAGAACTGAAAAATAAAGACACAAACTGCACTGAAGGTGCATGGAACTTCATTGTTCTGCAGTTGCATGGACGAAAGAATATGTTTCATTTTGCAGAGGATTGCCCTGAAAATAAATCACTTTAAAGAGAACCACAGAAATAGAGACACATTTTATTTCATGATGATTACTGAATGTTGAAGCAATATTCAATATTCAATATTTAATTTTACTGACTACCATAAACAGAATTTCCGTAATTTGAAAAAGAAACACTCTCTCACATACTTACCTATATAAAAACTAGCATTATAGCTTCAATCTATCAAGTCTACTTATATTAAAATTATCTATAGCCTTACTTAAATAATTTGGTTTTTGATCCCTAAGAAAGTTTGCTTTAAAAAGCAGATCAGTTTTAAGAAAGCAAAAATTATCCAAGGACACCTTGAATATGAAAGGAAGTTTTCCTTGCTCTTCTTGAAAAGATAAAATGTGTTTCTGCCTTATATCCTTTGCTCCTGCTGTTCCTTCTCCCTAAAATTATCTCCCCACCCCCGTTCTGACAAGTCCCCCTCTCTGCCTTAATTAATCCTCTGCTCAAATGTGATCTGAAGACCATACAAAATCACACATCCCACCCTGATGAGCAGTCTCCATCACCTTCCCTACTTTATATTCTTTCATAGCCTTTAACATCACTGATATACTCTATACATTTACTTGTTTATTTATTACCAATTTCTCCTCATAAGAATGTAAGGCCATTGAGAGCAGAACTCTGTTTTGTTCATGGTGACATCCTGAACCCTTGGAGAGGGCCAGACCATGGCTGATAGTAAGCATTCAATAAGCAAATGTGGAATGGTAGAATGAGTTAAGATTAAGATTAAATCCTCATGGTGTATATTTGGTTCTATTTCTCTTACACATCCAAATAGTTCAAATAATAGTTCTATGATACAAAACACTGTAGTCTAGTTTACATAAAAGATGACACCAGTATATTGGAAATCATAAAAATCACACATGCAAATGCTTTTGTGTGCAGGTACCCATCAAGGTATTGAACATTGAGAAAGGATCTGGGATACAATTAATTTATCACTATTTTTCTTCTCTTCACGCACACTCAGTGTTCCTTGATAATTAATATTAAATCATTATGATTAGATAATGCAACTGTCTACATCTGCATACCAAGGAGCTAACACCCTTTTAATTCTACAAACTTTACTAATACTCATCTTCCTTCCATTGCTGCTAAAGGCCTTCTGCACCTCTTCCAGATTTGCAGATCCATTCATGGCAGTGTTTTTCATTTATTCTTTGAGAAATCAGTTTTAAATATTAGTAGATTCTAAGCTGATTGGCATTTAGAACATTCTTCTGCCAGCCTTTAGTACTTTTTAATGCTTTATGTTAGAAAGTAAAAGAAAAGGATGTAGAAATAACAAGTAAGTATTGAAGAAATACTATCTTATTGAAATTAATTCCTACTTGATTTTTAAGCCCTCAGTATGGGTTTACCATTAAGGGGAAGGCAGAAGAGGCAACACTGCTTGAAATATTTTGCCTATTTCAACCCCTAGAACTCGTAGTTCTTTAATTGTCTCTGGTCCCTGTCCTTTATATCACAGTGTGGCAGAGTTTAATATGTGGTGTGGTGCAATTTTTCTACCCTCCCCACCAAAGAAGGGTTCTATAGTAGAGTCTTAGATGAATTACAGGCTCTCCCAAATCAGCCATTGTTAATTGGTTTATCCCTCCACATCTCCTCATCCTCCCATTCCTAATTCCCACCCCTAAATAACTTCTCAAGATTTCTCATAGGGAGAAAATTTGCAATAATGAGTTCAACTTTTCTATTTTTTTCAGGAACTCTCCACATCTGGCTCTTAGCCTGACAGAGGCGAGTCACTAGGATGCAGTATTGTCATATGGATCACAGGGCCCTCCAGCCCTCCCAGGTTTGCACTGCACACATGTGGTTATTGAACAGGTCAAGTGCCTGGAGCACCTTTCTTTCTTTCTTTTTTTTTTTTTTTTTAATCCCCAGATAAAGTGTGGATTCTATTTAAAATAATATATAAGCATTAGTCTTTAAATTGCAACAAATGTGCTAGACTAATGTAGGATGTTAATAATATGGAAACTTTCTATACTCTTTTAGCAATTTTTTTGTAAATTTATAATTGTTCCAAAAGAAAAGGTTTATTTGTGATACCATTTAAAAAATGGTATTGTATTTTTTTTCATTTCTTTTCAGCGTAACAGAATTCATTGTTTATGCACCACAGCCAATGCTCCATGCAATACGTGCCCTCCATAATACCCACCACCTGGCTCCCCCAATCTCCCACCCCCTGCCCCTTCAAAACACTCAGATTGTTTTTCAGAGTCCATAGTCTCTCATGGTTCATCTCCCCTTCCAATTTCCCTCAACCTGGAGCACCCTTCTAAGACTGCATTTGGTCATTACCCAGCGTGAAGTCATGCGCCCACACTTACATCCAGTCCCTACACAGGAAGCCAGATTCAACTAAACCTGACAAAAGGTGAGCATCTTCTTATGCATCCATTGATTCATCAGCAGTGAGTGTTAAATGCCCAGCACTCTCTCTTCTCCTGACCTTTTTGTGTGCTTACTGTCTACAGAGCCATGGTTGTGTTCACTGCCCTATGTTCTGTGCTTCCTAGTTGTCTTAAATCCAGACTAGTCAAACAGGATTCATATATCACCTAACTGATCACTTGTTATCTCCACTAGAATTTCTCACCAACATCTCAAACTTAACAGGTCTCAAAGTAAGACCATAATTATCTCCTTCCCTTCAAAATATATTTTGCTCCAGGGTACTCTTAGTCAGTCCAAAGCACCATTACCCATCCAGGCATTTAATCCAAAGTTCTAATTCCTCTTACCTCCTCTCTCTTCCTAATCCCATACACAATCAAACCCCAAGTTCTGTTGTTTATGTTTCCCTTACATTGTCAGAACAGGTTCTCTTCTTTTTCTTCTTATTACTAAAAACTATCACTGAAGTAATTAAAAAAAACACACACACACAAAACAGCATTTACACTGTTTCTTAAATTCCTTTTGCATAATATTTTCAGGAACTTTCTTTTATAAAATACAAATCATGTCTATCAATTCCACTCTACAAATCCTTTGTTTGTTTCCCACTTACCATGGAAAGACAATTTAAAACACTTCAAATGGCCTACAATGCCTACTGCAATCCCATTCTGCTTCCTCCTTCAGTCTCATCTCTTGGCACAATCCTTTGTATCCTCTCAACTTTCACCATAATGCACGAATGTGCCAAATCATCTGCCTGATATACTCTCCCAGGCTCCAATCACCTAGGTAATCAGCATATATTCTTCAGGGATCAGCATTAACACCATCTCTTTAGAGAAGTCCTGCCAATTGCCTGTGACATAATTCAGCACCACATTCTTGATCTGGGTAGTTTTAAAATTCACAAAAATTGGGTGTATGATTTACAGTTTTGCTTAATTCCTAATTTCCCATTCTATTGCAGGTTCTAGGAAGGCATGGAATCATTCTGTATATCCTAAAATATCTGTTGTGATGCCTAATATGTAGCAAAGACCCAAATATTTGATAAATGAATGAACAAAAACAATCACTGGGCCATTATTAGACCCAAGTCTATGTTTTCGAAGCTGGTATTTCAATTTTATAAAGTCCATTCAAAATTCTTAGCTGCCAAGAAGAAACTTGAGTAGTGTCTCATGGTGAGTCACTGTACCTTCTTTCATTTCCCTGTTTAAAAATGGTTTCTCTCTTTAAAAAAAAAAAAAATCCTCAGCAAACCATCCTAATAAATATCAGCTAATAAAATAATGAATGTAGCAAACAAGCAAATTGAGAAACACAGACAAACCAAAGATATATTATGGAGAGGAAGAAAAATCTAAAATGACTTAAAAAGACTCCATAAACTTAAGGTCTAAAGAATAAATATTCTATTGGAAGAAGTAGTGGAAAGAACATTAGATTTAGTTATTTAAAAACTAAGCAAGACAAAACAGTAAAACCAGTGTCTTCTTAGTTGGAAGAAAATAAGGGGGGTAAGAAAACATATGGTGAGTATACTAAAGATCTAACCTAGGAAGGATTGTATAAATAGGAATGAAAATGGTTATGATCTGGTATATATTTTTCACATGTCACAAGAAGGAATCAAATATCCATGAGAATCCTCACCGTGACAACAAGTAGCCTTCTAAGAATGCTGAACTGGGAGAATGAGGCTTAACAGAGTCTCATTCTGAAGGAGAGGGAGGACTGCCCAGGCAAACGTGTTGTTAAAAATCACACAATGGCAAAGCTGATAAAAACACATCTGCTTTCTTTCCTGGTACACAAGACAATAAATCATTCTAACTAACTTCAAGTCTTACCCCTGGAAACTTTGATATTGCAGATGTAAAATAAATTAAGACAAGACAAAAGGAGGCAAATTTCTTGGGGGGTGGGGGGGATAAGCACAAATTTAGAAAGCTCAGCATGTAGATAATTGAAAGCAACGAAGGGAATTGTTTCTAGCTAGTATTCTAATTCACATGGTTTAATTTTCTACTGATAAAGTATAGCACAGCCCGACCCTGAAACATTTGATTTAACAAGCGATTGATTTGGAGGGAAGCAATGTATTTTCATGGCTCTCATAGGGAGCAACTCTATTATACCAGTTAGGTAGACTTTTCCAGGTATTAATTAGTTTTTAATTAATTTATTTTTATCATCATTGAGTTTTCTGAGTTTTCTTAAACTCCCTGCCATACTTATTTATAGATGATTCTATATCTCTTTCATTATACTCTTGATAGATGTAATTCAATAATTATTTGCATAATCTTCCATTTAGTGTAGGTTGTTTAAAGATTATTTATTTATTTATTTGACAGAGAGAGAGAGAGAGAGATCACAAGTAGGCAGAGGGGCAGGCAGAGAGAGAGGGGGAAGCAGGCTCCCTGCTGAGCAGAGAGCCCAATGTGGGGCTCGATTCCAGGACCCTGAGATCATGACCTGAGCTGAAGGCAGAAGCTTAACCCACTGAGCCACCCAGGCACCCCAAGTGTCGGTTGTTTAAACTAGACTACAGCTTACTGGAAGTGAGTCACTCACAGTTAGAAGTGCCCAACCAGCAGTTTAAAAAATAAAATGAATAAACCAAAGAAGTCACCGAGACGGCCCTCTACAGATTCTTCTAAATGTAAAACTTGGAACACAATAACAAAGTTAGTTGGCCTAGCTTGAGCAATCATTGCTCGCACCTGTTGTCTTTGAATTAAATTCTAATGAGATGGCAGAGACCACTCATAAATATTTATGAAGATGAGGAGTTTGGCACACACTGGCACTGAGCTGCAAACCCCAAGTGTTGTTATTTCTTGTTCAGTATCTTTGCAGTATCACAGCCACAAGTTCCATCCTAAAGTGTTGCCAGAATTTTGATCTCCAGAAGGAGCTTCTTTTTTCTAACTTGATTGTAAAGCCTGAATTTAGAACAGACTCAACATTTTCATATAATTGTATCTTAGAGGCAATGAGCTTCTTCATTTCATCCTAAAACCACTAGTTTCTAGTAAACAAAATACGATGTTAAGAGATATGCTTCTTATAAAGTAAGTGCTGTAAACAAAAGGAACAGCACTCTCCTTTTTCTTAGCCCTGTTGTTTACAGTCCTGGTTAGGACAGTGATGTTGGATCTTAAGAGGGAAGAATATTCAGTGCAGATGTCTGAGTTAAAGGAGATTTTGTAAAACCAAAACCAAACCACGTTAACAAGATCAGCAATGTTGGTAGAATCCTCAAGAAGCAAAAGTTAATAAATTCAAAGGGCAACTTCTAAATACAATTTCATCTCTTCAGGTAACACCTCAATGTTTCTGTCATCAATACAGATATTTTGTCACATTTCTGGAATACTTTTTTACTATTTACTGATTGTAATTAGCTGTTCAGAAATCTTTTATGCCATGCTCTTCTGTCTTAATAAACTGTCACAAGGCTATATCTCGGTGCCAATATTGTGCCAGTATTCTTATAGAGGAGTGAGATACTGATAATCTCATCAATGAACAGGATAGAAGACCTCAGTATATCAGAAAAAGAAATTCAGAGAAAGGTAAGTAGATCATTCTGAATTTTAATTCCAGGTAATTATTTGAAAGTATAAAAATAACTGAATCAGTGTCAATATTGTTACTTCAAAGTAATTTTCAATTTCATGTAACGCTCTAGAAAATTGAGCAAAAGCAAACATGCCCAAAAGTCTTTTGAATGTTACAGAAATATTGATAGTTGTAAATTAAATTTTTTATGTATTTGGAGATATTATATAGGGTTCTTTTTTTTTTTTTTTTCACAAAAACATAAGCCTGTTATTAAAATGGTTGTTAATGAAATGAATTAAACCACTGAAAACACAGAAATTATTTTGGATAAAGATTAATTGATATATTCCTCAATTATTTTTGCAGCAATTTGGAGCTGTTAATAAAAATTTCCACGGTGAGACACCTGGGCAGTGCAGTCTGCTAAGCGTCCGACTCATGGTTTCAGCTCAGATTGTGTTCTCAGGGTCCTGAGATGGAGCCCTGTGTTGGGTTCCGTGCTCAGCGTGGAGTCTCCTAGAGATTCTCTGTCCTTCTCCCTGTCCCTCCCATTCATGCTTTCTTTCTTTTTCTCTCTCTAAAATAAATAAATAAATCTTTTTAAAAATTTCCATGACGACTAGTATACTCTGTCAGTATATCCATAAAAGAGAAATAATGATTAGTGGTAAAATTCTACATTTCAGACTTGAGTTCCATTGATCATAGTAAAGTCACACGTTTTGTTTCACTTGAGGGAGGCCCATGCTTGGCATGTTCATGTGTTTGCACGCACATACATAATTGCCACTAGCCAATGTTTAGTGCCCTCTATAATGTGATCACTGAAGCAAGGGTTCATTTTGTTCTGTATATTCTTACACACACTCACACACATTCCCTTTCTCTCTCTTTCTCAGAGAGAGGGAAAAAGAAAGTTAGCCCCAAAATTTTGTAATAGCTTATCTATACCACCCAATATAAACAACAAAGTTTCATAGCAGTAGGAAACAATGTCATTTCTTACCAGTGTACTGATTTTGAAAAACATCTTTTTCTTTTTCCTTTACAAAAAAATATCTGTCACAGGGTTTTTTTGCAAGTCCAACTGTGAGTTTTGTTTCCTTGTGCCCATCTGCATTAGATGTATTTTTTCTCCTCTAGTAGGAGATCAATTGCAAAACAACTGCTTCTCAAAATTAACATCTGAAAAAAAATTTAATATCTGAAAAACCAAACCAGTAATCGCTCTCAGTAGCTTCAATATATTCAATGAACATAAATCATGTTCTATGTGGCAGATATTTTTTAGGCAACAGGAATATAAAATTTCATAATGGTTGAGGAGAAGGAAGTTTATATTAAAGTAACCATGGATATAAGGGAGAAACAAGCAATTCTGAAGAGGCAGTGATGAACTCATCTTAAGCAGGCGAAGGAAACTCAGAAAGGATTGTACATTGAATAAGTTTTAGACAAGAGTATATATTTCTGGAAAGAACAAATTGACAAGAGGGCAACAGAGCATTAAGAGAATGAGATCATAATATCATCTCTTGAACCGAGATCACAGAATAGCATCCAGAGACGGGCAAGAAATAATATTCATATGTATGTATATCTAAGTATGTGTACACGCATACACACACACACACACACACACACACACACACACATATGGCATGTCCAAACAGATGACATGTCAAAGAAAAAGTCATGAAACATAAATATACATTAAATCACCTACATACTTTTCAACAGAAAGACAGTAAACCATAGTACTATTGATTCTTTGTCCATGGAAATAGCAAACCAACTTCCTTTAGAAAAATACATACATTAGAAATCAGCTATGAGCATCTTCTCACTCCATCTGATCCTGTTGCCTCAGCTTGTGTTGCTGACTGGTTGGCGTGGACACAGTTTGCACAGACACTTTGCAGGTTCTCCCAGACCCACTCTGATGCTGCTTTACTCAGAGGAGCACTCAGATAAAGGGAAATAGCCCAGTGGGCTCAAAACACGTGAATAGATTGGAATGGCTGTAGCTTCAAGTGTACCCCATAAACATCAAATTATTTCTGACAACGACAGTTTAAGAGTAGGTTATCTCTCTCAAGGTAGGAAAAGGCTGGGAATGTTTGAGGAACAGGGGACTCAGCTCGTTCATTTGGCTGAGTTGTTTTCTAAGGAAACTTCCTTAAGAAATTAGCTAATATCACTTTTTTGTTTTTCCCGAGTAGATGATTTAAACTAAGATGGGAATCTCTGGAAAAAAAAAATTAAAAAAAAAAAGACTTGGAGAGACTCTATGGGGAAGAAAGGAATGAGGCTGCAAGTAAGCCAGAGAGCTTCAAGGGATAAAACTAAAAGAATTTCAGAAGACATTTTATACAATTTTACTTTAAGTAGGCATCTCTCCCTGAAATCTTTAGTCAA